ACACCATTCTGACCAATGGCAGTCCAATCTCTTCTTGAAAGTCTCAAGTGATGGCACTCCCACAACTTCTGAGGGCAAGCTGTTCCATTGGTTGATTGTTTGTCAGAAAGTTTCTCCTTATTGCCAGGTTAAATCTCTCCTTGTTCAGTGTCCATCCATTATTCCTTGTCTGGCCTACAGGCGCTTTAGAAAATAGCTTGACCCCTTCCTCCTTGTGGCAGCCGCTCAAATATTGGAAGACTGCTATCATGTCTCCCCTGGTCCTTCTCTTTACTAGACTAGCCAAGCCCAGTTCCTGTAACTGTTCTTCATATGTTTTAGTCTCCAATCCCCGAATCATCCTGGTTGCTCTTCTCTGTACTTTTTCTAGAGTCTCAACATCTTTTTTTATAATGAGGTGAACAAAAGTAACATAATGGAAGTAAAAATATAGCTAGGCCTTTTCAAATATCATATGTTCATTCTTCTCTGTATGTGTGTTCATTCTACGTCTATGAGCAGGCTGATGATAATAGCAACAGCACTTAGACTTACATACCGCTTCACAGTGCTTTACCGCTCTCTCTAAGTCAAAATCAGGATATAATACAACAGTCATTGGGAGTACTAAAGCCATTTTTAAAAAAGGATCTGGACTCTTTTTCTGGAGAAAAAGACTTTTTTTGGATATTTATTATATAAGTATAGATAATGAATATGTTTTCCAGCTCTGTAAATATATGACCTTTTATTTCACCTTATATTTTCTCTGTTTTTCTCATACACTTTTATAATACTGTACTTGATGAGGGAATGTCATGTGTTTTGATGTGCTGCCATCTAGTGGTTAGATTTACTGCTTAATTCAAAGTAACAATCAATGGCTACCTTCCTTCACAGTTTACCTTGACTTCCAGCAGGATTTTAGCATAGATTCTTGAACAGCAGCAGCTACTGCTGGTGTTTTGCTAGCGTGTAATATCAGTTCTTCCCACTTTTCTATTGTATTTATGACCCATTAAGGAGTTTCATATTGTAACATGAATGGATGTAGACCCTTAAAAAAGCAGACCTTACTTTGCTCTTTATTTAGGAATCTGCATAACTGTATATACTGGAATGGATCCAGGGACTGAGGGACAGAAGGAAAATACCTTCTTTTCCACAAAAGCTTGTACAAGAATTTGTATAAGAGTTCAAGCAGCATTGTCCTTTGTAGTGCATGTTTCCTTACGCAGATCACTTTCACAAATTCTTGTTCAAGAGCCTCTCTAACATATTTTTCTTTTTCTTACTTATTGGTGCGGTTTGAGCTTGGTTGTTTTCTTGCATGTTTCATTACCCAAACTAGGTAACAACATCAGTACTAGAAGAGAATTTATATTCTGAGTGGCTTGCCTTGTCAGGAGTGGTCTTGGTGGAGGTTTTTTTGTGGGGGGAGGGAATTGGGTTGTTTACTGTTGGCTTGTTTGGCAATTCTTTGATTGAGGTTCACTCCTTGATTGTTGATCTGATGTTAAACTTGGTGTTAATCTATGGTCATCTTGGTGTTGATTGCTCAGTTCTTCTAACATATCTGGAAATGCAAAAGTAATTGTAGAACCAATGTAACACAGGGTTTAACTGAGAAGACCCAAACTCCAATTTACATTTAGCCATAGAAATTCAATAGTCTGAGTCTGTCTTGTCTCTGAGTCAGTCATGAGTCAGTCGGTCTGTCTCTCACAAACAGAGACATTAACCCACAAGATGATGATGATGATGATGATGATGATTATTATTATTATTATGGTCCACTTTTTGGATAATTAAACGCAGCGGTGGGATGCAAATATTTTTACTACCGGTTCTGTGGGTGTGGCTAGGTGGGAGCCATGTGACTGGGTGAGCATGGCTTCTTTTTTGTGCACCTCCCCCGTGTAGCCCTTTTTGCCTCCTGGGCCTCAGGGAAGCCTCCTGGGCCTTCACAAGACAGCGAGGGGCCTTCGCGATACACTGTCTTCGTAAGACATCAAGGGGGATCCCAGCACAGCTGATCGTCAGAACAGCTGATCATCGGGAGGAAAAAATATACCTGTTCAGCCAAACGGTAGCATTTTTTTATTACCGGTTCTCCCGAACCAGGTTCAAACCAGTAGAATCCCACCACTGATTGAGTGCCATTTTGCACAGTCAGCTGTGTCTCCAGGGCGCAAGCCCGCGGCTTGCATAACCACAAGATTATTCTTAATGAGGAAAAAATGGAGGAGAGAATAATATGCTTGCTACCTTTAGCTCACAAAGGAAAGGCAGAATATAAATTTATCAAATAAACCTATGCATATATAGAATAAAATGTAATTCTCAGATGGCTGAAAATCACAATTGTTCTAATTGTTGCACAGTTATTCAGTAATTGTTTGCTTTTTCTAACTCAGTAAACAATTTCCCAGGTTTTTCTGTCAGTAACTGTTTTCTTGAGTTCTCGTAAACTCATTCTTGTGTCACCACTGATATTATTTAGTTCTAAAATTTCATACCCTTCAATGCTATATGTAAATAGTTTATAGTTTAACAAATGTAATACAATATGTTATATAATAAAAGTAAGTTCTACAAAATAAAGTAACGAGTAAAAATACAATTCCACTGTACCATATTTCATTCACAACACCAATACTGAAGTCTCTGAAAATCTTCTGAAACAATCAGATTGTAAGATTTTGTCAGAGGAACATGAGGGAAGGGGTTCATTTTATTTCTGGAGACAATCTATTGACA